AACTCTCTGATTATTAGCATAGAAAATGATCATTTGGGAGCTCTATTGCCATGAAGCAAGCTGAAAAACCCGATAGTATTCCCGGTATACTTATATTTTCATTCAAATTATCCAACATCATAAACATCGATTATAAAATTCTAATTATTTTAAATTGTTTAAATTCACTAGTTACATAGTGGTATCTTTACGGGAATGATTCTATGGGGAGGTTGATGCCACTTTTAGTAGGATTGGAGCTCAACTCTCTGATTATCAGCATAGAAAATGGTCATTTGGGAGCTTTATTGCCGTGAAGCAAGCTGAAAAGCCCGATAGTAATCCCGGTATACTTGCATTTTCATTCAAATTTTCCATCATAAATATCGATTATAAAATTCTAATTATTTTAAATTGTTTAAATTCACTAGTTACATGGTAATATCTTTTCAGGAATGATTCTATGAGGTTGATACCACTTTTAGTAGGATTAGAGCTCAACTCTCTGATTATCAGCATAGAAAATAATCATTTGGGAGCTCTATTGCCGTGAAGCAAGCTGAAAAGACCGATAATAATCCCAGTATTTCATTCAAATTATCCATCATAAACATTGATTATAAAATTCTAATTATTTTAAATTGTTTAAATTCACTAGTTACATAATGGTATCTTTTCAAGAATGATACACCCAACATTAGGAGGATGGCGATAAGAATTTTGAGCTTGATTACTAGCTCTTCGGCTTGTCAGAGTTGAAGTACATCTGAGATGGTAATAATAACTTCTTTAAGTTTAAATTGTGTTGGACGCTTGGAGCACATTTGAGTCAAATTCTTTCTTTGTGCTAATTGATGTTTTAATTTGTAGACTCATTGACACACACAAAGAAGAGGAATAAATTAAGTCACAAGAAATTGTGTTAGCTTTGGCCAAATTCCATGCAAAGCTCCGAAACAAACATTCTAACAAGGATAGAGATCCTCTACTTGCCTACGATAATGAAGAAAGAGTCGCATATTGGGTGATCCCTCCAAGTCAAGTTAGCGAAGACAATGATGATGAAGTGTTCCCCGAGAATAATTAAATTGGATGCAAACCGTAAAAGTATCGGGGGCTAATTCAAAGAGGAGAAAGAGTGCAAGAACAAAGGCATACTAAAGAAAGAGAAAGTTGAGGGTATCATCTTCAAGAGCAAAGAAGCCGATCATAGATGAAGAGGAAGAGTGGGAAACACCTTCAGAGTCCTCATCAGGGTCGGAGGAAGGCTATTGATCCTAAAGAAGATTGATTTTAGTCATATTTGCTTCTACTTCATTTTGGTTATGTTATTCTGGATTGATATAATGATAAACAACAACAAACTACTTGTGTAACTTCTAAAACTTGGTTGGTTGGTTGTTTTGCTTTATTTCTTTATGGATATTGACAATCTTGAATATTAGATCTCAAGTTAATATGTGAGTTATTTATGGATTTTAGTCATATTTGCTTCTACTTCATTTTGGTTATGTTATTCTGGATTGATATAATGATAAACAATTATGAAATACTTTATGTAACTTCTAAAACTTGGTCGGTTAGTTGTTTTGCTTTATTTCTTTATGGATATTGACAATCTTGAATATTAGATCCCAAGTTAATATGTGAGTTCTGTGATATAATGTTGATTCTTCATTATCAGTATCGTCTGCTTGTTTAGAATTCTATTTTGAGTCTTTGACTAACATTATTTTCTTATTTTGAATATTTTGCACTTGGGAAGTTTCACCATACGATGGAGAACCAAGCTTCTACAATCAATTAGTCATCCTAAACATATTACATATATCATTTTATGAATTATAATGTCTTATATTTAGAATACACTAGATATGTTTAGATTACATATTACAATGTCATGTTATATATGATCAACATCCAATATGACAACTCGATATTTTTTACATAGCCCCAATATATCCTCGATTTATGCAATACGATATGGATTTTGATCGTCAGATATTTCTGATATATCAGATGTTTAATATATTAATGAAGCGAACTGCTATTGGAGAGATTGAACTATCCTTTGAGTCGATTTATCCAACTAGGCCTGAGTGACATAGCTAAAGTTTGAAGTTTCTCAAGGATTTGGAACCAATGATCGGTTAGGATAGGCCATGTCCTCAAAAGATGAAAAAAGAGGCCTCACAATGAGCACCAAACTATTTAGCTCACCAAACTATTTATGTCAGGAAGTTGATTATATTGGTCAGTGGATGTTCAGAGGAGTTTAGGATCCCTTGATCTTCTTTGATGGTTAATCCACAAAAGGAAAGAATATTTCTACACAAATAAAACTGTTAAAGGACCGGAGTTGGGTACCCCGATGTACCCTCTGACACTCAAGTTATTCACTTATTTAATTAGATCTGTAGAATCTAGTTCATGGTGTTATGTAGCATAAAATTGCATACCTCCGAATAGTGAAGATTTGCCCATTATTTGTAGAGGGTTGATTGGCACTTAATAGTAATTTGACCGGGTCGTTGCAGTCGGCTGATCAGACGGCACTTTACACGTGTTGGCAGTCAGTTGAACGAGTCACCTTCATGTTTAATGCGACTTTTGGTTATCTAGTATACTTAGTAATTTTCAGGGTATAACACTTGGTTTTTGGATATATGGCCAAAAAATATCAATGGTATGAAACTAATATTTCAATCGTCTCCTAACTTCTTTAAGAATGAATTACTTTCCCAAGGTGACCTCTTTGGCTGCTAAAACCAGCAATGAGTACATATAAATACTTTGACTCAAAGGTGGATGCAGTATTTTCTTTACTTTCTCTTGAAAAAGATCAAACTAATCCTGAAAAAGATCAAACTAATCCTGGGAATGCATGACAGAATTTTCATTTCCACTTTTCTAATAAGTTGAATAGAACCTGCCAAAGAATGAGCAAATCACATCACTAATGACGAGCAAATAGGTGGCAAATAAAAGATGGTATCCAGAAGGTCTCATCTTTGGTCTTTCATTTTAAAACTGTTGGGGTTTCTAACAAGTCTATAACAAAGTTTAAACTAATTATGGGGAGATATATAGATTGCTTTATAGACTTCTAAAGAACAGAACTTTGGGAATCCACAATGGTCAATGTTACATTAAACGCTGGGCGCTTCTAGGCGTCAGACTTGGCGCCCAACGCTTAGTCGCTTAGGTAGGCGCCTAAGCGGTTTTTGGGCGTTTTTTTTCTTTCTTCATTTAAGTGGTGGTCGATGAGGTTTTGCTGAAGGTCGGAGGAGGTAGTGGAGGTGTTCATATTTGGAGGTTAATGGAGTTTGGAGGACGTGTATACTATGACATATAAAATCACAATCAAGGCCTACAGGGTGCAATCCACGTAAGCAGACAATGCTCACCTAAACGTTCGTAATATCTAGGTGGGCAGCCTAAATACCGCCTAGGCGTTAGGCGCTAGTTAGGCGGCCTAGGTACCGCATAGGTCTAGGCGTACGCCTAAGCGGACTAGGCAGAGGTTTTTTAAAACAATGACAATGGTGAAAAAAATAAGTTCAAGAGCATTCAAATAAGTTCAAGAGCATTCTTATGTCTATAAGTTGAAAAAAAAGGAACAAAGTGTGTTTAAGGAATTATAGTTTTCTATAGATGAGCCCATAAAGAATAGAAATTAAGGTAGTTCAGATGAATAAGATGAATAACTACCCTTTTTAGGTAGATCAGCAAATCAAGAAAAACTATTAAACTATTATCCATAGATGTTTGGAACATGAGTCTAGCGACCTGATTTAGAATTCAAGTTAGTTAATATTTCAAAGAAAACAATCATTTTTAGAGAAATAAACAACAAAAATGTGTACCTTAATAGCAATTTGAGAATTCTTTTGCCATCATTGATCCTTAAATTTGACTCTTACCAAAAATTGTACACCAAGATACCTATATTAAAAAACCAAACCTAAAGCATATCACGTTCCCCAACGTACCACGTTCCAAGTAAATGGCGTAGCACGCTCCCGTTCCCGTCTCGTGAATCAAATCGAACCGGGTTCCATGCTACTATGTTGTTATCATCTTCAGGTGCTCCTCTTGATAATATATTCTTGTATCATTTAGATAAGCATAAATCACTGTTTTAAAAAGCTTCCGCCTAGTCCGCCTAGGCGTACGCTTAGACCTAGGCAGTACCTTGACCGCCTAACTAGCGACTAGCACCTAGGCGGTACTAAGGCTACACACCTAGTTTTTTAGAGTGTTTAGAGGAGCATTGTCTGCTTACGTGGAGTCGTGGACTGCACCGTTTAGGTCTTGATCGTGATTTTCTGTGTTGCAACCTCCACGTCCTCCAACCTTCTTCAAACTCCTTCAACCTCCAAATATGAACACATCAACTACCTCCTCCGACCTTTAGCAAAACTTCTTCGACCACCACTTAAATGAAGAAAGAAATCTGCCTAGACACCAGTCGAGCACCTAAGCTTTCTATAACATTAACATTTACTATTAATTATTATAATTAAAAAATTAAAAAATCTCCTAGGCTCTACGCAACGAGTCCCACGCCTAGGCCTCTTAGTGCTTTCTATAACCTTGTTAGTTATTATTTTGACTATTTAGCATTTAAGTATGCATGATTTATTGTGGATCTAGGATTGCTATCTATTTCTTTTTTACAAATTTATATGAATTTAATACATATTTTTATTAATTATTATAATTAAATAAATTTAAAAATAACCAAACACCTAGACGGCCTAGGCGTTTAGGCGCTAGGCGCTGGCTCAAATGCCTAGTCCGCCTAGCGCCTTCCGTAACATTGGCATAAATCATAATCAGGTGACAAATCAAATGCCTCACCTAGCCAACACACTATAATATCCATACTACAAAAATAACCCTGAACCATATTGGATTACAAAACAAATTCAAGCTATGCATGTTAATGGTATATGTTTCATCTCATTGAAATTTCTAAGATTTCAAACAAAAGATAGAAGAAAAAGAAGAAACATTACCTTAAAGCAACCATTCACCTTCGAATCCCTGTTCCATTCCAGCCCTAGAGTTTTGGCTGACGTCTGATATGTAGCCTTAACTGAATCACCCCCTTCAAACTTCCTCGTCATAGCAAAGTCCCAAACATTCTTTGACACATCATAGCACGGCTCAATCATTGTTCTCCTCATCTCCCCATGAGCATACACATACTTTACCTTGCAATTTCCTGACCCAAATGCATAACTCATTGTCACTTTATTTGCTGGATCAAATGCAACTGATGTGTCTAGAGCTGTCCGATTGTCCCCACGAGCATGAACATAGGTCAAGCTCACGGGCTTTTCGAGCACTTTCACTGTGTTCATGAACTGGAACCTGAAATCCTGTGAAGAAAGATTCACGATTAAAGCACACTCTTAAAGCCTTAAACAGAACTGAAATACATACCGGTGAAATAGATTTTAATGTCAGAAGGGAAATTTTATTTTTTAGGGCAATCAGAGAATGGAATAGATTCAGTTTAAAGAATTCAACACTAGTAGCAAGCAAGACACATATAGCAAGCAACAATAGGCCAAGAGCTTTAATGAAAGCATACAAAAACAGTAGCAAGCATAACCATTGTTAATAATAACAATATCCAAAACTAAAAAAGAAGGTTTTCTCCATATACATCTATTTAAAATATAGGTATATTTAAAATTATGCCAAAACTATTTTACCTCTAAATTACATTTAGACCTAAGTTTTACCCCCCACCCACCACCCTAATTTTTATGGACTAAACACGGATACTTTGTCAAACTACTATACTATTTTAAAATTACTAATTTATCTTAATTAACTTAATTAATAGAAACGAAAGCGTCGTTGCTATCACCCCACCTCATGCCTACACCCCCTACAAAGCAAACGATAGTTCTGCCAACTCCATCCCCAACCGCCCCAACGCTTCTCATCTTATCCACCTAATCCCCCCACTTTTTTTGCTCACAAGTCTCGCCTCTGAAACTCCCACATCTACTCCCGTCTTTCTCCACACCCAACCACACTTTGAACACCCCTACTACAAACGACCTCCTCACACCCCTCTTTGTCATTCGCTCCCTCAACCCTCACTCTCTCATCTTCCCCCACCTCTTACCCTCAGCAAC